GTCGTCTGGCCGCGGGATGCCTGCCCTGGCCCGCTGACCTCTCCACCTCTCGCCCGGGTTGGCGCAGCTCTGCTGTCCCGAAGCGCTCTTTGGAGATCTCCTGCACCTCCCGCCTCTCCCGCCTCAGGTCCCCACCCTCCAAGGTCGGAGGAGAGGGCGCCTGGGGACTTGTTATTGTGGACGGCAAACACTTACGTAAGGCGCGCAGGCTTCTCATTTGGTGAAGTTGAAAGCGAAAGCCGGAAAACAGTTTCTGGGCTCTCTGGGGTGTTTTGGATGTAGTTGAAAGCACTTAGGGTGGACTGGGGAGGAAAAGGGATACCCGAAAAGGATCTAGGGCAGCGTCTGGATGGAGAAGAAACCGGAAGTCCTCAGGCGCCCTGGGGCCTGCTGCTGGGCCTGCTGCTGGGCCTGGGGGGGACTGGCACGTGCAGTGTGCTCTAAAACTGCAATAAAGACGCACTTGGAGCTCTGACGTCAGGTTTTCTTGCACAACCTGCAAGGGCCGCTGTCCTCAGCTGGGGCTGGCTGCAGATGGAGGGGTTTGCAACCCGGTTTCGGCCTTGGATGGTCACTCTACAGGTCACACTTTGATCTAGAATGGCTCCGAGGACACACCCTTTAGGTTCACCACCTGTCACTTTGGGTCAACGGGCTGAATGAGACACCAGGGAGTTGAGTTAAGGTGTTGTGATCCATGTCGTTTCCAAAATATTCTTCAGCCCAAGGAAAGCTAGAGCCTAGCAGGAAGAGGAGGGTAGGATTTGGAGCTGGCTTACAGCCTACTGGTTTCCACGAGTTAGTAAGATCCCCCATGACCAACTTCGTTGGAATCCCTGGCAGGGCTGTGTGTGTGTGTCCCAAGGAAAAATGCAAGAGAAGAGATTCCTGTGCCCACACCCCACTGAGGGTACTTCACCCTCTCCTTCTGCTCTTTACCCTCTTGACAGGGCAAGTGCCCACTAGCAATAAAAACTGAACACAGGGAACCAGAAGTTAGCGTAATGGCTATGTCGCTGGACTCCCACATAGTTGACCGCAGTTCGCGGCCTGGACCCGGTGGCTTAAAACCCACACCGGGCGCATGTGCGTGCGTGCCCAAGATCCCGAGAGAATGGAGGAGAAGGGATTGCGGCGTGGCCATCCCCTCTGGGGGGTGATTTCTCGCTTTCTGTCTCTCTGTCTCTCTCTGTCTGTCTGGCCAGGCAGAGGCCCTATAGTGAAACACCTCTCAAAAAAAAAAAAAAAAAACTGAACAAACAAAAGAATGAAGGTTTGAAAGGGGTTGGGTGGTCAGGGATGCCTGGAGGAAAGGATGTGATAAAGCAGTAGTTGGGAGTACCCTGAGGCTAAAGAAGAAAGGGACAGTGAGAGGACTCCCTAGTTCTGCCCTGGAGCTAGATTCTCTGACTACTGTTTCTCTCCTCTCCAGGCAAAGTTGCCCCGTCCTGAGTTGATTCCCTTTTCTTCACTTTTCTTCACAGGATACTTCTTTTCTTTTTTCTTTTCTTTTCTTTTCTTTTCTTTTCTTTTCTTTTCTTTTCTTTTCTTTTTTTCTTTTCTTTTCTTTTCTTTTCTTTTCTTTTCTTTTCTTTTCTTTTCTTTTCTTTTCTTTTCTTTTTTTTTCTTTTCTTTTCTTTTCTTTTCCAGTTTCTGCCATTGGGCACATGCCAGAGACAGAGAGAGGAAAATGAGAACTAGACCCCTGACCCCCTTCTTGAGATGTTGCAATGCTGTAATCCCTTCTCCAGTTTCCTTTCCGGATTTGGGGCAAACAGCACACAGGCACGTAGGACCAGCATGAGTTTCAAGCTGTGGACTGGGGAATCTACCTCCGTCACCCACATGGGAGTCCAGCACCTTAACCATCACACCACCTGCCAACCCCACAGCTCACTTATTATAAGGTGGCAGGGCTAGGACTGCCCCTCTCCCAGCAGCAGGCCCCTAAGCACTAAACAAAGTGCCAAGGAAGATGGAATATTCAGACTCCCCTGGATTCCTACCTTGCTTCGTTAGAGTACAGGTTGCTCACCGCTAGAGTACAGGTTGCTCACGGCACCTGCAGGGCCTCTTTGATGTAGTGAATAGCATGCCTAAGGCTCTTCTCAAGTTGAATTAAGTCTTCTATATGTGCTGACAGGTTTTTGTGAAACAGTCCATGAAAAAAATGAAACAAGTTGCAGACTAGAGTATATCATAGAATTCTATCTCTGGGAGAAATAATTTCTTTTTTCACAGCTAGAATAATAGCTGAAAAGAAAAATGCTGATCAACTCTACGGAGTGAGAATGGAGAAGGTTTATGCTCCTTATTTGCTACCTGGAGGAAATCAATTGTGAACAATTCTTAAATTGGTCTGTGCGTCCATTCTTGTGCCGATTATAGACCATTTTAATTAGCATGATTTTAGAAGTCTTGACATTTCTTAGAGTAGGTTATCTACCTTGCTTTCTTAAATTTGTCAAGATTATTTTGCTATCCTGGGCCCTGTGTGCTTTTATAGAAATTTTAGAATAATAGTGCATGCATGCACACACACATAAATTCCCCGCTGGGATTTGGATTGTGATTGAAATAAATATAAAATGAATTTGGAGAGAATTGACATAATATTGAGCCTTCCAATCTATGAACATGTTAAATCATTTTTTAAAAATATTCTTTCATTTCTCCCAAAAATGTTTTGTAGCTTCTTTAAGGATATCTTTCCCGTTGCAACAGCTAATTCTATATGTTGGCTTAGTTATGGTGCCCAGTCTAGATGTTGTTGTTAGGGTATATTTTTTTTAGATAAGATTAACATTTAAATCAGTAGATTTTTGAGTAAAGCAGATTCCCCTCCATAGTATGGGTAGGTTTGGGCTGATTTGTTGACAGCCTTAAAGAGCAAAGACAGGAGGTCAACAGGTGGCTTAGTGGTTGAGGTGCAGGGCTCCCACAGGGCCGACCATGTTTCGAGTCCCAGATGCAGGTGTGTGCACAAGACGTGCCCAAAATCCTGAGAGGAGAATGAAGAAGGGATTGCAGTGTGGCCATCGACGTCTCACTTTCTCTCTCTCTCTCTCTCTCTCTGTCTCTCTTCTCCCTGGATAGCACATGTGCCCTGTAGCGAAAAAAGATCTCTTTTTAAAAAAATAAGCAAAGACAGATTTCCTGAGGAAGAAAGAATCTGGCCATGAGCCCGCAACACAGACTCCCTGTCAGAGTTTCCAGCCTGCCTGTCCTTGTGGATTTCAGACTCAGTGCTGCCATAGCTCTTATCTGAATTCGACAGCTGCTACCTCACCCTCCTTATTATGAATTTTTATTATCAATGAAGTGTTTTTAAATTTATTTATTTGCATTCATTCACTATACATCATTACAGCAAACAAAATGAGATTGCCCATCCAGAATACACTGTATATTGGCTCAATCAAGCACATCAACATGCTTATTATCGTCAACAGAGAATTTTCCATTTGTTTCCTGTGTATTTCGTTATTTTTGCCATCCTCGATTCCCTGTCTCTCACCCTCTGCCATGTCTCACCCTCCTCCCACATTGTCTCTGGTATCCATGGTTGCTTTCTATGCCTTTTCCCCCCATTTTACTGATTCGCTAGTGGCCTTAATTAATCTAAATACTTCCAATAGCAAGCGCAGCTGATATATACATATCCATGAACCCAAGTCTGGCTTTAGGCATAAACCTCAGTGAGTAGAATGAACGTACCATAAAGTAGCACCCAGCTGGGGCTACATAGCTTACCGCAGTCATCAAATATGCAATCTTTTAAATTTCAAGAAAAAAATAGTTTTCGTGTTTTCTTTTTCTCCTGAAACTTTTTTAATTAATTAATTTACATTCATTCCCTAATCTTAATCACAGCATGCAAAAAGTGGTTTCCCATCCAGAATATATTGCATAGTGGCTTCATCATGTACGTTATCATCAATAATTTTCCATTTCTAGTTTCACACACACACACACACACATATATATATGTATATATACACACATATATACATGTATATATATATTTATCCCTATTTCTGACTCTCTGCCCTTTCCCACCCTCTTCTCACACTGTCTCTGGTGTCTATAGCTGTCTTCCATTCCTTTTTCTCCCACATTTTATTGATCACACAATTTCTTAAATAATCTAAGAACTTTCAATAGCAAATTCAGCTGGTAATTTCAAGAAAATCAGTTTTGAATTGGTAAGAAAATTGACTTTATACTTAAAGCCTAAAACAGGTTAGTATTCTGTTCAAATAGTAGGTGCATGAACCTATTTACAGCTCAAGACAGGACAAAACCTCTTAAAACCAGACAACAAAGCTTAGAAGAAAAGCAGCAATGTTTTAGTCAAAAGTCATAGAATGCTATTTCACCAGTTCAGTCTCATGTACTTAATCAATCTTCTGTTGTTCAATCTTCCCGATTGAATTCTGGGATATAATATTCAACTCCAGACTTGTCCCTATGATTAAGTTGGCCATTTTCTTAGTTTTTTAACTTATCAATGAAGTTTTTAAAGACTTTTTCTTCACCTATTGAGAACATTATGTGGTTTTTTCATTTGCATTATTTGTTGCATTAAGTTTCACACAGTAGACCATACTTCCATTTCTGAAATAAATTTAATTTGCTATAGGGTGCATGTGCTTGCCAGGACAGAGAGAGACAGAGAGACAGAAATCACCCCCCCCCAGGGGGGATGGCCACACCACAATCCCTTCTCCTCAATCTCCTCTTGGGATCTTGGGCACGCATGTACGTGCACCCAGAGTGAATTTAAGCCACCAGTCCAGGACTTGAACCGCGATTGGTTACATGGGAGTCCAGTGATATAGCCGTTACACCAACTGCTGGATA